GAATTCATGTTGAAAATATGGTTAAAATAAAATAAATCCTGTTTTTAATTATTGTTATGCTTAATTGTTATTTTATTATTTATTAAATCCATAAGAGGCCCAGCAGTTAATCCGATAGGTAATATATATTTTATTATCATTATATAATATTATTATTCATCATCACCATTATCATAATTATTATTTGAATTATCAATATTAATATCAATATATGTAAGATTCATATTCTTATTTTCAAAACATTTTACTGGTTTTCTACCAACATTTTTAAGAATTGCTTTAATAATTTACGTCTTGTGCTCTTTAGACCCATGTACTTCCAATCCCTGTGTGAATGGGATCTGCAGAAAGTCAGGCTCTTCTTATTCATGCATTTGTAATCGATGTTATTCAGGAAGCAGATGTCAATGTAAGTACCGTAGTCAAAACAGGCCAGAAAATTATCAATTTAGAAATTAATAAGAATTGATTAAGCCAAATCAAGTGTATAGATAATACTAATGAGGAAACAAATTATCCCACTTCTGCAAATGAGTAGATAAATTACCGCATATTCTATGCAGTTAGATGCGTTACTGCTTAGAGTTTTGCCCATAAACGTACTATGTTTGTTAAAATGGAAACATTTTGAGCTCTAGGTAAATGATGATTGACTGTAAGGAAGCACGTAACCTTATTTATTTATATTTAAAAGCAAAAGCGGACACTGATCGCTTGTGATGTGATATACTAATGTGACTGACGTGTAAATATGAGAGCAGTTAATACTAAAAAAGTACACTTTAATTTGTAAAATTAAACCCCACTTTTTTGCTCTTCCAAGAAATCAATTTATAACATTAATAAATAGGAAAATTATTTTGTTTCGTCGAGAGTCACTGCGGCAAGGAATAGCCCGCTAGATGGTTGTTTTATTCTTATAAATTTATTATTGATTTTCCTGTACAACTTATTTTGATCTCCACAGACTATGATTCTAAACGCTGCTTAATCGAGCCCTTTGAGCCTCGGGGGCTGCCACTGAAGTAGATGGTCGTCTAAAGTAGCAGCTTCAGTCTTGGGTCTTGATAAGCAGGGCCACCAATATAAACATTTTTCTCAGTAGTACTAATAACTAGTGACTGATTAAGATGCATTTTATTTTTTTAATTATTATTTTTTTTGTACAGGTCTCCTTCTAATGAAAGACCCCTCCAATTGAAGACCATCTCCAATTAAAGACCACTTTTCCGTGGTCCCAAATTAACAAGTCTTTTATTTTTATTATTCTAATTAGAGACCAAAGCTGCTAAAGACCATAAAAACCCTGTCCCAAGAGTGGTCTGTAATTGGAGTCTGTAATTGAAATATTGTGAATGTAATAATACGGTAGCTTTTTAACAAGTCAGATTTAAAGCTAAATAGACTTAAATAAATCAGCTAGTATTAAATTGATCATTACGTTAAGTGGTTCTTATAATAAAATTGTGTGTTGAGTTTTTAGATTGTCTTCATGATGGGGCATGAATACAAATGCAGTGGCTATAGTTACAACAGTTTCAAACGAATTATTAATTCATTGGATGTTATTGTTCTAATCAAATCCATTAATTCAGTAGCATCCAGTCACACTGTTATTGAGTACAGTTTTATTTCCAAATACCAGTAAAATACTGTATGAAACAACATTTTATCTACTGTATTTTATATATTTTTTTAAATCTTTGTTTATCTCGTTGCTTATAGTTTTGTATTGTTTTGAAATTGGAATAAATTCGTATTGATTGATTGATTGAGATTTATTGTATTTTAAGTCTCTTCTTGTATGTTTCTTTTGTAAATTACTAGTGCTCCCCATAATTGCGATGTGTACTACTGATTTAAAAGCGTATATTCAATAAAGTTCAGTTCCGTTCAGTAATGTAATTAACAATTTGTATAAGACTGGTGTAACAAAAAAACAGTGCCATTAAAAAATAATAAAATTATATAAACCTGAATTTTAACACAAGAATAGCATTAATGAATTTGAACTAGACCCAATGAGAAGTGACCGTAAAAATCATAATAGATTGAGGGCGCTATAACTTGTCACACCAGGGGCCAGATTTATCAAACTAGAAATCAGGTTAAAGTTTTTTATTTATTTATTTTATTTATTTTTTTTTCATTTTTTTGCTTAAGTCAAATTTATCCATATAGCTTACTTAAAAAATGCTTAAAATTAGAAAGTCGATTGTACGTTGGTGCCATCTAAGACGATTTTTGAGCCAAGAATTTGCTAAGATTGGGTAATAGATCAGCTTAAGATATTTATTAGGGGCATCTTAACTTTTTTTTTTTACTAAGCTGAGATTGATCCCGGGCCAGAAGCATACCATAGGTTCTAATGCTACTCATTTACAAAACTAACATGCTGTTTTAAGTTTACTCAAATTCATGTTACGATTTATTATTTTCAGTAGAAATTGTGTCTAAGATATTATAAAATTAATATCAACGTAACATTAATAAACAAATAACCATTTCATAACGTGATTCTATAAAAATGCTAAAATGTGGTCAATATCCAGAACTATGGTCACACTCTTATTTCTAATTTTGAGAACTACAGGATAACCTATAACCTATTTAATAGCATTATTCAGATTTTTACTTGTATGACCTAATCTATGATAGGCCTATTTGTTAATAAACAATCAAATTGAAACAATAATGCACAAAGCAAAGTTACAAAATAAAATTTCAATTAAATTAACGTTAATATATTAGCCTATTGTATTATTTCGTACCGTATCTATTCTTAAGATTTAAGCATATATATAATAGGCCTATATGTTGTACTTGGGCCTATATATACATATTTATTATCGATAATTTCATCTTATATAAATCAAGGCCAATGACGAGTGGAGCTGTTATAAAATATAAATATTATTTTTACTGACGTAATAGGAATCACAGTCAATATTATTAGTCTTAATATTAAGTTTACTTAATGATCGGACACATCAGGGAGACCTTGGTGTACATTGGTAGTTGAAAGATGGAGGAAGATGTATCAGAATCATAGAGCTATTAAACAACTAGAGTGCTGACAAGATGGCGGAGCAATGCAGAGTTGTGTATGTGTACCATCCAAGATGGCTGCCGTAGGAAAGCGCCACCTTCAGGCTTAGTATACATATTATTACCATAAATAAGCCCTCTGACTGAATATTATTTCATTAATGATAATTAGTATTGATAATGACAAGTTATTAAACTGTCGTAGCCAAAAAGAGGCCAAGTAGAACATCTTATTCAAATATTAAAAAGAATTAAAATCGTGTACATTACACCCATACACCGCAACGCTCGAGTTTCAAAATACGGGTAACTAGCTGTACTGAATTTTTTGTGTAAATTGAGGGCGCAATTGAAAATGATAGCGCTCAGGGGAAATTTGATTGGCTGAATCTATGGCAGCCATTTTGGATGGTACACACACACAGCTCTGCGTATTTCGAACATCGAATACATTGCTGTTAGCGCTCTAGTATTCTTATTATATCTCTATGGTCAGAATGGACATTTACGGAGTGTCAATCATACTTGAGCTGACCAACAAGAACATGGTCAGCAATAAATCCCACAAACACATGCGAAAAAGCGAAAGGTTTAAGCATGGACCTATTAATAGTTTAAGCGACGTTTTGTGGAACTTTGGCTAACATATCAAAGGGGGGCTTTGGGGAATCGTCCATTAAACAAGAAATATATTATACAGTATATTCTATAAGCTGAATACACTGTGTTTTCGTTTATTTTATCCACCTTCCTGTGGTAGCATACACTACCACCAATTCAAGAGTGGATTGGGATTGGATTTATTCGGTGTAAACACCAAGAATAGCAAACGAACACCTTCTGGTGCTGATTGGGCAATACACCTACAGACAATTCCCTACTCTTTTCCGAATTGTGTACAGCGTTCTTTAACGTGCACATGGGCCATAAATTAACACGGGACCAATGGCATATACACAAGGAGATTCAACGATAGCAATTGAACCGTGTACCCAGAGATCTCCACGGTTAAGCGCACACCGAGTGGCAACCACCAGGTTAGCCGACTGAGCTAAGCTGCTCTCTCATTCGTTCATTCATTGAATGATTCATTCATTGAATGAATGAATGAATGAATGAATGAATGAATGAATGAATGAATGAATGAATGAATGAACAAACGAAAGTACGAACGGGTTAACATTGTGTAATACATAAAATATAAATTGTTTGAGGCTGTAAAAAATCAGCTATTCATGACTGAATGGACTAGATGGTGTCCATTAAATTATAAGCAAGTGTTTCAGCTACATCAGTCTGTTAGACGAAACGTCCTGTCAGAACTTATAGAAAAACAAATTATAGTACTAAAGCAACGAAACAATAGAGGTTACTCCCAATTTTCCTTAAATTTTTAAATATTCAAAAATCTGTATCTCATTATCCGTTGCAAGTTTTTCGTCAATCACCCTTATTGAGCCCGTCTTTAACTAAAACATAGGAGCTGCGCCAAAACGTTCAGTATCGTCGGACGATGACGTGACAAAACCGCTTTCTGTCAAAATACTACACTATTGTTTAGTGTTATGATCTGTAATCGTTTGTACCTATGGTAATTTGTTTTTTATAAGAATACATTACATAGGCTTATGTCAAAATGACATAACAAAATGTTTCTGTAAGAATAAGAACGTTTTCTAGTCATAAAGAAAACATAACATTTGACTTGTTTTACTATTTAATATAGTTATTATAAAATGTGAAAAATATACATAGCAACCATATACCATTATATTCCGTTTTTTAATATAAACAAAAAAATATATACCATCTTATTGAAATCTATTAAGTATACAAAGATTGCATTTACAATAACATCAGGCCATTCTACATAACAATTTTGAAGTGCAATAGATCATTCACAATAAATAGTACTGAATAGTAGAGTGAATACCGTACTTTATTAATTTAAAATGGGAATAACTAATTATTATACTGTATTTACGCATTTTTTGGTAAAAAAGTAAATGAGGACAAATCTGAACATAAATTGTAATACATGCAGTAGTAATTGATTAGGTCTATGTACATATGTGTAACTTATTATTTAATCATTTATGGTACAGTATATCTTAATGCATACAGTAGTAATTGAGTAGGCTATATACATATTAATGTGTAACTTATTTATTCAATCATTTATTGCATAATGTCTAATCTGAAAGTACATATACCTATCTAAAAGTATAATATCTAATGTGTACCATAGTAATTGAGTAGGCCTATGTACATAATTATTAATGTGTAACTAACTTACTTAATCAATTGATACAGTATAATATGTAATACCCAGTAGTAATTGAGTAGACCTATGTACATATTAATGTGTAAATTATTCATTTAGTCATTTATCATACAGTATACTATTTAATAAAACTAATTATTATACTGTATTCATGCATTTTTGGTAAACAATAGACAAATCTGAACATAAAATGTAATACATGCTTTAGTAATTGATAAGGTCTATGTACATATGTGTAACTTATTTCTTTTAATCATTTATGGTACAGTATATCTAATGCGTACAGTAGTAATTCAGTACACTTATGTACATATTAATGTGTACTGTAACTTTTTTATTTAAACATTTGTGATAGAGTATAATATTTAATACACAGTAGTAATTGAGTAGGCCTATGTGCATTTCAATGTGTAACTTATTTAATCACTTATGATACAGTATATTTAGTACACAGTAGTAATTGAGTAGGCATATGTACATATTTATGTATAACTTATATATTTAATCATTTATGATACAGTGTAATACTTAATACCTACAGTACTAATTGAGTACCGTAGGCCTATGAACATATTAATGTTTAACTTATTTAATGGTACAGTATAATATTTAATATGTACATTAGTAATTGAGTAGGCCTATGTACCTATTCATACACCACTTATTTATTTAATCATACAGTATAACATTTAGTACATACAATAGTAACTGGGTAGGCATGTACTTATTTATGTGTAACTTAATTATTTATTTTATAAAAAAGAAAGTAAGCTGAAATGAGCTTGTACACAATTCTGAAACTTAAGTCAACAATTAAAAAATATTATAAAAACAAAAGCATATAAACTACATTACCTTCAAATGAACATTATAAAAACTAAATCAATATGTATTTTTACAGAAGACCCAATGATCATTGGCAATAAAGCTGTCCTAATCCTCTTCATCTCCAACCACCAATTTGTAACTGTTGGTAGTTAAGTGTTTTATTGTTGATCCTGGGCCTTGTGTGTTCAACACTGAACAGGCCACTCAGGTTTTAAGAAAAATAAATAAAAATAAATAGATTAACACCTCAAAAAGGAGAAAGCAGTGAACACTATACAGTACTATGTCATTATATGGACTTTTTTTTTTATAAAAAAAAAAAGATAAACTGACCACTTACAAAAGGTGCCATGGGGAAGTATATTAATGTGAACACTCTGACCATAATTAATCTAGAAATTAAAAAAAAAAAACATAATAAAACGATAAACTATGCTGCCAAGCTGACCACCACTTCAGTATGCAAATTAATGTATAGTGTATGATTACTGTACAGTATAGATATAATAAACTAAACAATAGATGGTTTGTACTTTGTTGACTGACCACTGTACATAATAACCATGTAACCAACACCACTTATGAACTGACCTATGTATAACATTACTCAGAATTTCTAGGCACTATTACACAAATCATATCCGAGGCAACATCATATCACTTTAGTTAAGATCTTTGAAAGTCTTAATAGAATATTATCGAAGGTATACTATATCTATAAAGAGTTATACCGCGCTACATTTATACAGTGGATTCATAACATAGATTAGATCCAGCATATTTACTAACACCCAACCCTCATTCCTAACCAGTTGCGTAGAAAAGTATTTTTCATGAAGAAAGAGGGGGGGGGGGTGATTGGGTGTTAGCCAGTTGTGTAACAGGGGCGTAACAGACTTCCCCTCCCTGACGGTTTTTACCAGGCTGACCAAGCTGTCCTACCGGGCTGGGTAATAAGAGAAAAGAAAGAGGGGAGAGGGAGGAAAAGAGAAAGAAGAGGAATAGAAAAGGAAAGGAAAAGAAAAAGAGAAGAGAAAAATAAAGACAAGAATAAAAAGGAAGATATCATAATGACCTGACTCACAACACCCTGCAACCCCTTCTCCACTTCATAACTTCTTTGATCTATGCTGCCCGATGGCATTACCCCAGGAGGACAAGGGGAAAATATCTATCTTTGCAAAATCTTTCCTACCCCTTTATTAATGCCCTTTTCATCCCCTGAAATTGCTTCGCGCGCATTTCTTGTTAAAATAGGCCAATTTCCTCTAAAAATTGCACATTTTAGGGAGTTTTGATCAATTACAACGAAACGAAAATGAAAAACAGCGGGGGACAAGGGGAAAATATCCGTCTTTGGATAATCTTTCCCCACCCCTTGATAAAGGCATCCTCTGAAAGTGCATAAAATTCTCAAATTCTTCACGCGCATCTATTGTTACGGTAGGTCAATTTCCTCTATAAATTGCACATTTTAGTGAGTGTTCGTAAATTCTGACGAAATTAAAATTAAAAACATAAATTTTTTTGCATGCTTCTCGCACATTTCTTAAGGTTTTTTAAGGTTTATCCTTTTAAGTTATTTAAACACATAATAGTCCCAAACTCAAGAAAGAAAAATTTAAGAAAGATCATATTAATCTAAAAGAAGGGCCTCAATGTGTATAGATGGTGAAAGAATATGTTTGTAATAAATACAACCATGATGAAAATGCTTATATTTAGTTTCAAACACACGTGTGTGACCTATACTACAAATAAGATAAGCCTTATGTCGTACTGTTTTCTATTTGGGGAGGGGGTGGGATGGGTATGATAAATTACTAAACAGAAAAATAAATACCTTTAGCCTGAACCAAAACCACTGTTGCGCGCCTGGTGTTAGCGCCAATGTGTGCTCTTGTGCGGACGGGGGATGTGCCCCCATCTGAAGCTGGAAACCTTGTATTTGCAAAATAAATTGATGCAATTTGCTATTATAGGCCTAATCAATAAATTCCTCATCAACCGATATTACCTTAAACATTCTTGGAATTGACATAAGATTACTGATGCCGTACACACCCTTCATTACTGATGTCGTACACACCCTTCAGTGTGAAAATGTGGCTTGCTTTGCAAACACATCTAACATCTAAGGAAAGAAGAGCTTAGATAGGAACCAGATAAAATAATTTTTTTATGAACATTAATAAATTATGCTCATTTTCATCTTTGTAAGCGCATAAGACATTGCAAATTATTTCTGTGACAGTCTTTTTGAAGTGTAAGGCTCCATTTTATCCCATACATAATCAAAATATTGGGGGGGGTATGATACAATGAAACATCCCCCTTGTTAAATATTGGGGGATATATCCCCTCCATCCCCCCCCCCCCCCGGGAACTACGCCTATGTTCCTAACATATTATACACTCATTCACTCACATAGTGTATTAGATATTATTTGTAACAGTCGATAAAGAGCAAATAGTAAACAAACATTTATAAATTCAGCAAATAAGAAATATTGATCTTGCCATAATTATTGTCCATAATGTCAATCACTTTTAATTCAAACATGACTTGTTTTGGTGGATGACCTTATGAAGTCCACACCACCACGGCCACCTCCGCTGGACCATGGTTGGTGTAAATAAGTGGTAAACAATCGAGCACTCCTTTCTCCCACAGCTGGATCCCCGCTAAACTCATGGGTGCACTTCCTTTCCCCCCCTTTTTCTCTCTTTAATAACTTTTTTTTGCCTTTCTTGTTTTTCGGCTAGACTGAGGAGTGGGGGGGGCGGCACAGGCACGCATGGGGATCCCCCCCCCCCCGCTGGTTCCGCACCTGATCGGTTGAGGTATAATGAACAAAGTTACAAATGAAGACCCATAAATGTTACTAAAACTATTTGATATTAGGCTCCATTAATTCTAAAGTAACTTGTCTTAGAACACTCTCTAATCATATTATTTATAATAACACATCATAGACTGCAATCACTCATGTAAAGAAAATTCAGTTTAGGTGTAATGATGTAATGGAGACCAATCAATATCACTGAGGTTATTACCATCGATATCAAGTCACTCAAATTCCAACTTGACTCCTCTCTTAAAGCACTATCTAATTATATCATTCACAATAACACTTGATAAACTGCAATTATTCATGTCAAGTATGTTCAGATTAGGTGTAATGAATAAAGATACAAATGAAGACGCATCAATGTTCCCCAGATTATTACCACCAATGTTAAGCTTCTTTAATTCCAACTTGACTCCTCTCCTAAAACACTCTCTAATCATATCATTTATAACAACACCTGATAGACTACAGTTATTCATGTCAAGTTTATTCAGTTTAGACGTAATAAATAAGGTTGAAAATTAAGAACCACTTATGTCACAAGGATCATTACTCTGTTATAAAGACATAATTCCAACTTGACTCCTCTCTTAAAGCACTCTCTAATTATATCATTCACAATCATTCACATTAACACTTGATAGACTGCACTTATCCATGTAATGTCTATTCAGTTTAGGTGAAACAAACCAAGATTCAAATAAAGACCCACCAACATCACTATAGATTATTACCAGTGACAATAAGCCACGCTTATTCCAACTTGACTCCTCTGCTAAAACACTCTAATCATATCGTTCATAATTACACATGGTAGATTACAGATATTCATGACAAATTTACTCAGTTTAGACGTAATGGATAAGGATGCAAATGAAGACCCATCAATGATGATCAATCACTAATTCCAACTTGACTCCTCTACCAAAACACTCCCCAATCATATTCATAATAACACCCGATAAACTGAAATTATTCATGCCAAGTCCACTCAGTATAGATGTAATGAATAACGATGCAAATAAAAACCCATCAATGTTACCGAGATTATTATCACTGACATAATGCTCCACTAATTTCCAACATGACTCCTCTGCTAGAACACTCTCTAATCATATCGTTCATAACAACGCTTGATAAATTGCAATTATCCATGCCAAGTTTACTCAGTTTAGACGTAATGAATAAGGATGCAAATGAAGACCTATCAATGTTACTGAGATTATTACCACTGACATAAAGCTCCACTAATTCCAACTAGATTCCTCTGCTAGAACACTCTCTAATCATATCATTCATAATAACGTCTGATAAATTGCAATTATCCATGTCAAGTATACTCAGTTTAGACGTAATGCATAAGGATGCAAATGAAGACCCATCAATGTTACTGAGATTATTAGCACTGATAGCTAGCACCTCTAATTCCAACTTGACTCCTCTGCTAGAACACTCTCTAATCATATCGTTCATAATAACGCCTGATAAACTGCAATTATTCATGCTAAGTTTACACAGTTTAGACATAATGAATAAGGATGCAAATGAAGACCTATTAATGTTACTGAGATTATTACCATTGACATAAAGCTCTACTAATTCCAACTTGACTCCTCTGCTAGAACACTCTCTAATCATATCATTCATAATAACGCCTGATAAACTGCAATTATTCATGCCAAGTTTACTCAGTTTAGACGTAATGAATAAGGATGCAAATGAAGACCCATCAATGTTACTGAGATTATTACCACTGACATAAAGCTCCTCTAATTCCAACTTGACTTCCCTGCGAGAACACTCTCTAATCATATCGTTCATAACCACACATGATAGATTACAGTTATTCATGAACAGTTTACTCAGTTTAGAAGTAATGAATAAGGATGCAAATGAAGACATCTTCAATGATGATCAATCACTAATTCCAACTTGACTCCTCTACCAAAACACTCCCCAATATCATTCATAATAACGCCTGATAAACTGCAATTATTCATGCCAAGTTTACACAGTTTAGACGTAATGAATAAGGATGCAAATGAAGACCTATCAATGTTACTGAGATTATTACCACTGACATAAAGCTCCACTAATTCCAACTTGACTCCTCTGCTAGAACACTCTCTAATCATATCGTTCATAATAACGCCTGATAAACTGCAATTATTCATGCCAAGTTTACTCAGTTTAGACGTAATGAATAAGAATGCAAATGAAGACCCATTAATGTTACTGAGATTATTAGCACTGATATCTAGCGCCTCTAATTCCAACTTGACTCCTCTGCTAGAACACTCTCTAATCATATCGTTCATAACCACACATGATAGATTACAGTTATTCATGTGAAGATTACTCAGTTTAGACGTAATGAATAAGGATGCAAATGAAGACCCATCAATGTTACTGAGATTATTAGCACTGATAGCTAGCACCTCTAACTCCAACTTGACTCCTCTGCTAGAACACTCTCTAATCATATCGTTCATAACCACACATGATAGATTACAGTTATTCATGACCAGTTTACTCAGTTTAGATGTAATGAATAAGGATGCAAATGAAGCCCCATCAATGTTACTGAGATTATTACCACTGATAGCTAGCAACTTTAATTCCAACTTGACTCCTCTACTAGAACATTCTTCAATCATATCATTCAGAATAACACTTGATAAACTACAATTATTCATGCCAAGTATATTTAGTTTAGGTGAAATGAATAAGGATGCAAATGAAGCCCCATCAATTTTACTGAGATTATTATCACTGATAGCTAGCAACTTTAATTCCAACTTGACTCCTCTACTAGAACATTCTTCAATCATATCATTCAGAATAACACTTGATAAACTACAATTATTCATGTTAAGTATAATTAGTTTAGGTGAAATGAATAAGGATGCAAATGAAGAACCATCAATGTCACTTAGATCAGTACCAATGAAACACAGCTGCTGTAATTCCAACTTTACTCTTCTATTTAAGCACTCTCTGATCACATTATTCATAACAGCACCTGTAATACAATTTCTAAAGGTAACGATATTAAGTTGTGGTGCATTACTAAACAGGTGAACTACAAATGAAGCTGTACTCAAAGATGATAATGTACATTCTGTTACATCATATTTGAAGAAGAGTCTTTGACATTCATCTGTCAGGTAGTTAATATCATTCTCACATATTATACTACATATTTTTTCAAAAATAATCTTTTGTTCTGGCACAGCAATTAATATGTGAGCAAGCATTCTGCCTTTTTCTTCAGATGACATTTCTCTTAAAAAATATTCAAATGAATTTATCATTTTCGATTCAGGCCAAGAAAAACATTCACGAATTCTTATCATAAGTCTTATGAAATGCTCTTTTTGACTGATTTCTAATTCAGGAATAATGTTATGGATAAATTGTCTTAGTGATTTACATATGTCATTAATATGTGGCTTTATAATTAAATCTTCTCTGGTCATGTGACCAATAACTGCTTTTTCTACAGTATCCATATGGACTTTATTTACACATCTTAAATATTCCATTAAAGAACGATATGTTGAGATATCATTCGTTATCCAATGATTTAAAAATATGCCAGCATTAGCACCTAGGAATCCAATTGCAAACACCTTTGTTACGTGAAAATGTTTACTTCTGCTTATCATCTTCCATTCATTATCAGTCAATGGCTCAAATAATGTTCCCATGTCATTTGAACACTTATTCTTCAACCCTTGTATCTGACATAGTTTGCATAAGTAAAATCCAACTAATGACTCTAATATCAACTTGTGCCGAGTTGTAAAAATCTCTTCAAAGTTGGATTTCAGTTTTGAAGTATCTTTGTACACAAAACCTAGTTTTAAAGCCAGAGCAACCAATTCTTTATCTTCTTTCATCTCTCTTCTGTTTATTGAAAGTTGGTTTTTCTTTAGGCCTTTATAGAAATACTTTCCTAATAGAGCCATTGCATTAACAAACCTCTCAGGAGTATCTTCAAATGTTGAGATTTTTTGCTCTTTAACTGTTTGTTTGTCAATAAACTGATTCAAGATGCATCTAAATACCTCTTTAAACAAATCACTTTTATCAGCTACAAGATTTTTCCTTTTTTCCCACATAATGCTTACTGATAAAAGCAGCAATGGATTCTTACACATTGAATAGATCTCCTGATGTTTATGGTTTGAATCAAGCTGTAACTCCTCAATAAGTGAGTCTCCTAACAAAGGTTTTCTAAAGAAATCAAAGTGTTTCCTAATGTATTTTCCTATATTTTCTGTACTGAATCCCTGCACTTTCACATGTAAGTTGCTTGCATTAATGAACTCGTATATTTTTTCCGATCGTGATGTAAGTACCACTTTACATTCACACATTGCTTGGCATTTAAAAATCCTTATTGGACTCTCACTACCATCTTTTAATTCATCTAATCCATCCAATAACAATACAATTTCATTACTGTGATTCCAAATAAATTGTTCAATTAATATAGGATCTTCTTTGAGACCTGTTTCAAGTTTAAAACCATGTAGGTTTATCTTACTTAAAATAGCATCCAAAATACTTTCATTTATGTCAATATCCTGGATATTGACAAGAAACACTATTTTACCTTTGAAGGTTTCGTCTAATCCGTTTTTGGCCCAGTTGTATGCTATGTATCTGAGGAGGGTTGACTTACCAACACCGCTTTCACCTTCTATTAGAGCTTTACATGCAGGTGTGAATTTGATATCATCTAAAACCTGCTTTAAAGTTGTTTGAGTGGCATCTTCATTCTTTCGGCTTTTACTTATTGTTAGTTGGTCAAGATCAGTGAACATATCGGCATCTTCCTTTTCTATGTTGTTACTTATCTTTAGCAGGTCTAGATCAGTGAACATATCAGCAATATCTACTTGGTATTCAGCATTAAAAATTGATGGTGTAAACCGGTTGGCAGTGAGGCACACTTTCCGTTGGCTACTTAGTAGATATTTTCGAATAACCTCGTCTGTAAGAAAAGATTTTTAAATAAACAGTTACTCAAGACTTTCCCGTTTCTGAGGTTAGACATGGTTTGTAAGTACAAGTTATCTGATCAGGCAAAAAAAAACTAAAGTAAATGAAGATAATGATATCACAATCACATTTCTATGAATAATTAAATAATATACAGGGATCTCAAATCTCCCGGAAATTCCGGGAGTCTCCCGGAACTCTCCCGGAAATTGGTACAGTCTCTTGAACTCCCGCAAACAAGCAAAAGTCTTCCGGAAATTACTTATCTCCCGCAAATTAAGTTAAAAACAAATCTTTTTGTTTTAGACCTAAACTTTGGTTGCTGATGATTATTTGCAGTCTGACAGTGCCATTTCCAGGCTTCTAAAGGTGCCTATTATAAAAACATTTCATCACCTCAGCCCCAATCATGGTGGGCCTGAGGTGGGCATTGCCCTTCATTTGGCACCTACACTTTTTCTTCATAGAAAATATAGTGCCCCCAATGTCATTAAATGCATCTCCAAGAAATGGGTTTTTCCATTTTGGGAACCCTGCATATATCTGTACCTGAAATACAGTAACTTTATATAGAAATATTATCATTCATGTTTCTTATTGAGTCATTTCATGACAAATCATATAGTGGTCCCAATGTGACCCTCTTAGATTTTGCTAAAAATTCACAAAAATACTGTAAATGCTAGTGCCACTCTCGAAC